GATCGGCTGTAAGAGATAATGTAGGAGTCATAATATCAGCGTCTACTATAGCAAACAAAGATGTATCATCCGCAAATAAACGGATACCATTATGTATGCCTTCGGTTATATCATTAATGTATAATAAGAATAAAAATGGGCCTAGCACAGATCCCTGGGGTACTCCTGCATCAACAGTTTTGAATGTTGATGAGAAACCTTCAATATTTACTTTTTGTTGCCTGTCAGTAAGGTACTCTTTAATCCAGCCCAAAATATTATTTTGGAAGCCTATTTTTTCAAGTTTAAAGACAAGTCCTTTGTGCCAAACCCTATCAAAGGCTTTTGAAATATCACAGAATATAAATCTTAGGTCCCGGCCTTTATCGAGATTTGACATAATTTTATCATATATTTCAACTAGTTGATTTACTGTGGAGTCACCAGGCTGAAATCCCGATTGGTTTTTTGATAATAATTCGTAGTCTTTTATATAATTAAACATATACTTGAAAAGTATTTTTTCCATAACTTTGCAAACAGAACTAGTAAGAGAAATAGGCCTATAATTGTTAGTATTTTCAGGGCTTCCTTTATTTTTAAAGATCGGAGAAACATGTGCTTGTTTCCATATATAAGGCAGACATTTCTTACTGAGAGACATGTTGAAGAGTCTTGTTAGTGGTTTATAAATGGAGAATCGTATTTCTTTTAGGACTTTTGGAGATAATCCGTCTGGCCCTGGTGGTTTAGTGGTATCTAGGATTTCTAGTTGATCAAGAACATCCTGTTCAGTAATTTCAAAATCATCAAAGCAATTAATTGGCGTACCGGGTCCGTGTTCAGGAAGATCTGGCTCAGTGTTGATATGTGAGATGTTTACAAAATAAGTATTAAACTCTTCAGCTTTATCAATCAGATGTAAAATGGGTAGTAAACCTGGTTTACATATTTTAATATTTTGTACTTAATATTGATGAAATAAATGCAGTTTTGTGCGTTGTATCGATGAAAATTAACTTAAAATACCAACAAATTATGTACATTTTATAAAAATTTACCGATTGTTGAAAATAAATGCATTTTTTGAATACCCGGGACCGACCAAAACCGAACACGTTTACCCGGGACAAACCTCACATTTCCAAATTATAGTTTCTGTTTTTAAATAATCATAACTCCCACTTAATACCCGTGAATCAAGCCAACTTCGCAGATTTTATCAAATTTACTGGTAATATCTTTATCATCAATCTTTAATTAAAAATTAAATATAATCATTCATAATCACTGAATACCAAGCTAGCTGTACGGTCTTTATCTTGTTAATTCATTAAGACAATCAACAATACCATATTAAGTATTTGTATTTGAAAAAAAAATCATGATTTTTGTGTATTTTTAAGTTTTTCCATTTGTATACTTATTTTGTTTGTGCATAGGTTTCTGTTGTAATAAACTCTACATTCTTTTCTCTGCACTCGGTCATCTGACGTCAGTATTTCGGAATATTCCAAGTTTGTCCCGAGCAAATGTGTCCGGTTTTGACCTATCCCGGGTATTAAAAAAATGGCGATTATTTTAACTATCGATATTTATATTCGCAAAGGTCGTAAAATTTAAGTTCTTAAAGTTAATAAACAATGATAAGACACAAAGGAATCCCATTTTCTGCGTGCAACTTGCTTTAAATCAATAAAATGAATGGGTGTGTCGATTTACCCAAAAGGACCCAAAAGAACCCAAAAGTACCAAGAAGGAACCAAAAAGGACTCAAAAGGAACCCAAAAGGACACAAAATGAAATATTATGTTAAACTGAAAATTAGTAATTTGAATGAAATGATGAATATTACATTATAAATTTACATAAAAGTTGGCAAAAACATAAATTTATACTGTTGCAACTTTTCTTTGGGAAATAACATAACGCCTTATATATCACATCAAACACTAAATCTGGTTAGATATGCTTTGTTTTTATTTGAGCTGAAAAAAATAAAGTGTTATTATATTTCCCCTTCTATTTTTCCATATCTTACTATATGATATATAATGACGCAATAAGTTTTATTTTATGACTTGTTCTAGGCATATGGTATGGGGGGGGGGGGGGTGGGGACGGGGACACCCCCTCCAACCCCCACCCTTAACACACACTTTTCCCCCAAACTACTGTTTTATTTTCAATAAAGTATGAAAGTGTTCATTGAATATATCCAGATATTCCCTTTATTTCATGTCCTTTTGGGTTGCATATAACTTCCTTTTAGGTCCTTTTGGGTTCCTTTTGGGTTCTTTTGGGTCCTTTTGGGTAAATCGACGCACCGAAATGAATAAACCGGGTTTACTATCCATTTTAGTCACCTGGAAAATGTCAATCGTTAATAATCACTGAAAAACATGATATTTGGAGTTAAAACTCTCAGCGAAGACAGGTTTTGTTCAATTAAATTACATCTGTAAGTTTTGTGAAGAAGAATTAAGTATTATATGAGTAATTGGCAAAAACCCGGTTTTCAACTCCGAAATTCCCGGCCCGGCCCGAGTTTGGGTGTATGTTTGTTCGCCCTCAAACTTGTTCGCCCTTGACACCGTTCGCCCTAATTTCCGTTCGCCCAGAGTTCGATCGCCCTTAAACTTGTTCGCACAAGGTCCAATCGCCTTATTTATACTGCAGAAAGTTGAATGTGAACCAATGGATTTTTTAAATAAATTATATGTACATTGGTAAATAAATTCGTCGTAGTGACCTTGAACCCATATCAATTGAATGTGTTTGGATAGAAATAAGTGAACCTACCTGTAACCTTTTTCTTTGCTGCGTATATCGTCCACCCAACAGCGAAAAATCCTTCTGGGACAAATTTTTGTGGTCAATTGAAAAAGTATCAGATATCTCCAGCAAATTTATAATTGTAGGAGATTTAAATGTTGATTTTCTGGACAATTCTCGGATACTTCCTATTAAAGATATCATGCTGAATCATAACCTGACAAACACAATCCACGAAGCAACACGAATTACCAACACTTCGAACACACTTATTGACCCAGTTTTGATCAGCCCAGACCTTGTAGCACTCCACTCAGGCGTGATAGACACAGACAATACACTAACCGATCACAAAGCGACATACGTCTTCTTAAAATCAAGTATCATTAAAAGTCAATCTTATGTAAGGAAAATATGGGATTATAAAAATGCTAATATGGAAAAACTTAATACTTTAATCGAAACTACTGACTGGAAAAATCTTATCTGTAATGCTGAATCAATTGACGAAGCTACCGAAAAGTTTACAACCAAATATATAGATCTCGTAAGGGAATGTGTACCTGAAAAATCAGTTATTATAAGACCTAAAGACAAACCTTGGTTTGACTCATTATTAAGGAAAACCCATCGAGAAAAAAATAGATTAAGACGAAAAGCACAAAAAAGTAATAAACAGCTCGATTGGGATAATTTTAAGCGTATCAGAAACAAGTTTAACAACATGAGAAAACATGCTACTGAAAATTATCAAAATACTCTCGAGTTACAACTCGTTGATTCCAGTAAAAACAATCCTAAACTTTATTGGAAACTTCTTAAAGATACTTTTAAAACTAAATCAACTACAGATATTCCTCCTTTACAATACACATCTGCATCTGGTGATGTCAATTTTGCTTTTTCTGATGTAGATAAGATAACAGTACTTAACAATTATTTTGCTTCAGTTACCCGTGTTGATGATGATAAGTCTGATTTACCTAAAGAAATTACTAAGTGTGATAGTGTTTTTGACAATATTTCTATTTGTGAACAAGAAGTGTTTGATATTTTATCTATATTACCTGTTAACAAAGCCATTGGAGAAGACTGTATTAGTCATAAAATGTTAAAATCAACAAAACTTACTGTTGTCAAACCTCTATGTTTACTGTTTAATCGCTCATTGAAAGACTGTGTTTTTCCTCAAAAATGGAAATTAGCTAATGTTATTCCTCTCTTTAAAAAAGACGATCCAGCTGTTTTGTCAAACTATAGACCTATTTCATTGTTAAGTTGTGTTGGTAAAGTCATGGAACGTATTGTATTTAAACACTTGTATAACTACTTTCATTGTAATAATATTTTTTTACAAATACCAAGCTGGTTTCTTGCCTGGTCATTCTACGGTTTATCAATTGTTAGAAACATACGATAATATTGTTAGAAATATTGATGATGGTAAATCCAGTTGTATGATTTTTTGTGACTTATCTAAGGCCTTTGACCGTGTCTGGCACAAAGGGCTCTTGTTTAAGCTAAACATGTATGGCATAGAGAGTAATATGTACTTTTGGTTAAAAAGTTATTTAGAAAATAGAACACAAAGAGTTATTTACAAAAATTTGGTATCCCCTTCCGCTTCCTTATATGCCGGCGTTCCACAAGGCTCTGTATTAGGTCCATTATTATTTTTAATTTATGTAAAAGATGTATCTGACAAGATGTCAAGCTTTTGTAGATTATTCGCTGATGATAACAGTTTGCAGTACGCATCTAAATGTGTTAAATCTATAGAAAGTAATCTGAATAATGATCTTTTATCTCTTGAAGAGTGGTCAAACAAATGGTTACTAAAATTTAATCCATCCAAAACTAAGGTTGTATTTTTTAGCACAAGAAAAAACATAGAACCTCCCAAACTCCTATTCCAAGATAGCCAATTAGAATATGTTCAAATTCATAAACATTTAGGCGTAACTTTTTCATATAACTTAAGTTGGTCAACTCACATTGAAATCTTACTGTCTAATGCATACAAAAAAATTGGTCTATTAGAAAAACTTAAATTTAAAATAAATCGAAAGACTCTTTCACTCATGTATACTTCATTTATCCGCCCTCAGCTCGAATATGCTTCAGTTGTATGGGGTGGTTGTTAATATATCCCCACTGAGAACTATCTGAACCTCATACGCACTTCTTTATTAAGTACTGGGTTGAAATCAGAATTATATTTCAAATATTTCCGTGAGATATAATAATGCATTGACCTTCAATTCAACACTAAAATAACAGCTCTTTAAAGTATGACTACCCATAAATAGATAAAAACTACTCAGGTATGAAAACCTACTGCGCATGCCTCAGGTAAACCCCATCTGCTCGATAGATATAATCGATGACTTTCAATTCAGCTCGCCAAGTGAGTACACGTGTTTTCGTGTTCGAATGGCCAATGCCCAACTTCGTTCGCCGGGTCCTGGACAGGCAACGCCGGCACGTCATGAAAGTAATGAAGAACAGGAAAGCTCACCCGCAGAGGCGGAGGAGAGTGATAACAATAAGGTAGATGAGTCGGAGGACTCTCAAGTAGAACATGTCTCTGTAGCGGACAAAACAGAGGATGATTATCGGCGGCAGTGGTCGTCGGAGCAAATTCGAAATGCAAAAAGTAAGTCTGGCGACGTTTCTAATAGAACACAGTCGAGCTCAAAAAAACGTAAAAAGAGCAGGTCCTCAAATGAATCAAGTTCCAGCTCCTCTAGTTCTAGTTCCTCAAGCTCGTCAAGCTCTAGTTCCGAGTCTGATTCAGATTCTGATTTGTTTTTGTGTTCCGCTGATAGCACAAAATCTAAACCAAAAATTTCTAAAAAGATACTTAATTTTGTTACTAAGTACGCAACTAAAGGAATCAATAAAAAGAACAGACAAAATGTTGCAAAGATTTGTCCTATACCTAATTCAAAGAAGCTTCAGGGTTTGTCTTTGGACAGATTTTTCAAGAAAATTTATTTCAAGGGGAAAAAATGGAATGGCAAATTAGAGAAAAATAAAATCAATACACAGATGAGAATTCTAGATGCTTTAGGGCCACTTTCCGTTTTATGGAGCGAGGCAGAACGAATAGGCAAAACGGGCAAGGGTATGGACCCTTCTGATGTGATTCAGTTTGTCCAAAGAGCAATTATGTTTGTAGGAAATTCTCATTTCCTTTACAATACTGATAGGCGTAAAGCAGTTTTAGCTAAAACAATGCCTGAGTCAGTAGATGTACTTTCCGATAAGAGGTACAAAAAATCACTGGGAAAGTGTAAAAATGATTTATTTGGAAAACACTTTCTCAAACAATTAGCTAAAGATAACAAAGATAACAGAGAATTAAAACAGCTTTTGTCTAATGGTAATGAGAAAAAAGTTTGGTCTCAGACAAGACAATTTTCTGATAGAAACCGCCAGTTTTTTCTTCAGAGACCCTCATCAAGCCTCCAGTATGGGGGTCGCAGACAGACAGACAGGAGGCAGTTCACTCAGAATCAGAGATACGCACAGTACCCACAGTACAGGGGTCAGGGAGCGAATCAGAAATTTTCAGCGCCTCCCAAGAAACCAAACACTCAATGAATCAGGTGAGTCACACACAGATAGAGTTATCAGAGATCGATCGGAATCTATCAAAATTTCTGTTCCCGAATGCTGTAGTTATCCCTCAGTCAGTGCCTGTAGGGGGGCGTGTGAAATATTTCATTCAGAACTGGAAAGTAATTACACGGGATCCTTGGATCCTACAGTCGATCGAAGGAATAAAACTTCCTCTATTATCAAATCCTTATCAGAAGCAAATGCCTGTTCCATCCAAATTCAAAACAGCGGAACAGTTATTGATAGATTCCGAAATCGAAAAATTAGTGTCAAAACATGCGGTACGGGAGACAACTCCCACACGCGATTCATTTTACAGCAACGTATTCTTGGTACCCAAGAAAGGGGGCGAGTTAAGACCTGTAATAAATCTAAGAAATCTGAACAGTTTTCTCCCTTACGAACACTTCAAAATGGAGGGGGTACAGTTGCTGAGAGATCTCATGGAGGAGGGAGATTGGTTAGTAAAACTAGATCTAAAGGATGCGTATTTGACGATAAACGTGGCAGAGGAATTCCGAAAATTTCTGAAATTTTTTTGGAAAAACAAAATAATGGAGTTTACCTCCCTTCCATTCGGGATTGCAATAGCACCGCGAGTGTTTACAAAGATAATGAAAATTCCAATAGCAATTTTACGTCGTTTGGGCATACGTCTGGTGATTTACCTAGACGATATTCTGATTATGAACCAATCTCTCTCAGGCATTCAATCAGATCTATCAACAGCTGTTTACCTCTTAGAAAACCTAGGGTTTTTAGTCAATCAGAAAAAATCTGTTCTAGTCCCTTCGCATGTAACAGAATTTCTGGGATTCACAGTAAACTCGGAAACAATGGCCCTCTCTCTCCCAAAAGAAAAGGTACTAAAGATAAAACAGAACTGCTTAGATCTTGTGAGTCGTCAGTCTGTCTCAGCTCGAGATCTAGCCCAATTAATAGGGCGTCTAACGGCTACAAATCAAGCGGTTCTACCCTCTCCTCTCCATTACAGAAGTCTACAGTTACTAAAAACAAGAGCCTTACATACGGGAGGGAGTTACGACCATTATGTACAATTAGACGAGGATTCGAAACAGGAACTAATATGGTGGTCGACAAAACTAAGTGTATGGAATGGGAGAGCTTTAGTCCGCCCCCAGCCAAACATCATCGTCAAATCAGATGCAAGTCTGTTAGGATGGGGTGCAATTTGTCAGAATGCAAAAACGGGTGGTCTTTGGTTACAGAACGAAAGGGGACAGCACATAAACGTGTTAGAGCTCAAAGCAGCGTTTTTAGCAATTCAATGTTTTCAGTCAAAAATCATAAAAAAGCACGTACTACTGCAATCGGACAACAAAGTGGCGATAGCTTATATAAACAATATGGGGGGAACAAAATCAAAGAAGTTGATAGAACTTGCAAGTCAGATTTGGCAATGGTGTTTGGAAAGGGACATAACTCTAACAGGGGAATATTTACCCGGGGACTTGAATTTAGAGGCAGATTGGGAGAGTCGTCATTTCAAGGACACGAGTTCCTGGAAATTAGATCCACAGATATTCAGTCATCTAATGAAGATAATGGGCCCTTGTTCAGTAGATCTTTTTGCAGACAGGACAAATGCCCAGCTGAACAATTATTTCAGCTGGAGGGTAGACCCTCATGCACAGGCATCAGATGCGATGCTACAGACATGGAGGGACATTCTAGGTTACGCTTTTCCCCCGTTTTGCATGATAATGCCTTGTCTAGCGAAAGTGAGGGAGGAGAGGTGCCAAGTTGTGATCGTAACACCGACATGGCAAACGCAACCTTGGTATCCTCTCCTCCTTCAGATGTCGATAGACTTTCCAGTACTGATACCCATGGGCTCGAGAACCTTAACGTCTCCCCAGGGGGAAGTTCACCCTTTGATCGCCAACAGCACATTACAACTAGCAGGGTGGAAGGTATCAGGAGATATTACACTTCAGAAGGTTTTTCAGACCAAGTTAAAGAACTACTCTTACACGCATGGAGACCAGGTACAAAATCTGCTTACGACAGTGCCTGGTCGAAATGGAATAGCTGGTGTTTGGAACGATCAATTGATCCCTTTTCAGCCCCTTTGGCCTCTGTTCTAGATTTTTTAGCTTGGATGTTTTATCAGGGCTATGAATACCGAACAATTAATGTTCATAGGTCGGCAATTTCTTCAGTGTTACCGCAGTTAAATGGAGTTTCTGTCGGACAGGTCCCTGTTGTGAAACAACTTTTTAAGGGAATATTAATAAAAGACCCTCCACAACCTAAATACGTTTTTTTCCTGGGATATTAATGTTGTCCTTAAACATTTGTCTGATTTGCCTTGTGATAACGACCTTTCGATTTTACAACTGAGCAAAAAAATTACCATTTTACTCGCTCTAGGAGCTCCTAAAAGGGTTTCGGAAATTGCTAGATTCGATCGCCGATTTATGGAAAGAAAAGGTGATAGTATTGTTTTTCATTTACCAGGTCTATCAAAATCTCAGATGAACAATGCATGTAGATCTGTTCAGTATGATAAAATTGATAATGAAAGACTCTGCGTGGTACATTGTTGCTCTGTTTACGAGAAACGAACTGAATCATTTAGATCGCAGCTCAAAACTGAACCCGATCCGTTGCTCCGCGCAACCAAAAAACCCCATAATGGGGTTTCTGCACAAACGATTAGCAACTGGATAAAGTCTGTTATGTTAGATGCAGGCATCGATACATCAAAATTTCAGCCGCATTCGTGCAGAATGGTCTCTTCAAGTAGAGCGCATAATACCGGAATACCTTTAGAGGAAATTCTGTCAAAAGCAGATTGGTCAAATGCTCGAACATTTAGAACTTTTTATTTACGTAATACTTCGTCTGATATGTCTTATACACGTAATGTTTTGAATTTGGTGAGTTTTATTTTCGGCTTTAAACATGCATTATTATATCTCACGGAAATATTTGAAATATAATTGAAGATTTTATGAGGGCGCGAAGCGCCCGAAATGAAATATAAATTATATGATAATATTGAAGTGAGATATAATAATGCATTTCCCTCCCACCCTTACCCGTTTATTGGGTCAGTGGGAGATGTTTATTCATTTTTTCTATTACTTAATACCTGATAGCATTACCTAATATTTGAATTATTTTTATCGTATATGTTGTAGGAGGATAATCCTGTACCATAAAACGCCACGACACCACGATGCCTTCCGGATATTGCCTGTATGGTGGTTTTTTAAGTGTACTAAAAATGATGGACATAATTGCTTTACAATTCCGATCTTCATGTTTAAGAATTCGATGATTACTGTGTTAAATAGAATTACCTTTGTTGTGTATTTTTTATAAATTCTGTCAACATAACATTTGAAGTTTTCTTTGCTTTGTTTTGGCTCGCATATTGAAAGTCATCGATTATATCTATCGAGCAGATGGGGTTTACCTGAGGCATGCGCAGTAGGTTTTCATACCTGAGTAGTTTTTATCTATTTATGGGTAGTCATACTTTAAAGAGCTGTTATTTTAGTGTTGAATTGAAGGTCAATGCATTATTATATCTCACTTCAATATTATCATATAATTTATATTTCATTTCGGGCGCTTCGCGCCCTCATAAAATCTTCAATTTAGAAGAACGTACAAGGTTTTCTTTCTTTCTTTTTTTTTTTCCAAATACCCGACAAACACCTGACTAATGCCCGTCAGTAACATTAACAGTATACTGGTTAAAACCTCCTTCTGTTATTCACCATCCACAAATCGGCAAGTGATGATGCTACTCGTTATCAGCAGTTCTCAGTGGGGATCTTAATATATCCCCACTGAGAACTATCTGAACCTCATACGCACTTCTTTATTAAGTACTGGGTTGAAATCAGAATTAGAAAATCTTCCTGGTCAATTTCTCTCTTCGCCTGTACCACATCAAAACTAACTTCTCCCAATACTCACTCCAAAATAATTAATTTATAATGCATGTATTTATTCATTTATTCTGTTCAACAATCAATAACAAGTCAATATTTAAATACAAACAGCTAAATTACATTTAAGACATAATTATACATCCGTATATAATAACTGTGATAACATTTTATGAACATGTAATAACATGCATGTACATCAGTTGAAGGCGGGTGACAATGCAGACATATCCCCGTGTGTTTTATAGAATAGTTCTATATCCCCCCTATTACTTGTGATTTTGGCAATATTACCCGCCACTCTACTAGCATCTGTCAAAGATTTTGATCTACTGTAATAGTGTGCCGAACTTTCTGTTGACCACCCTACATGGTGCATGAGTTCCCCAGGACCTTTAACCGCACCCGAAACAGCCATTGTAATAGCGAAACCTCCCCTAAAACTGTGTGGGGTTTCTCCCTCATATATTCCTAACGTAACTAAATAGCATTTCAATCTTTCATACATTGCTGAATATCCCAACTTTTCATTCAGAACTCTACCTTTCTCAGTAACTGGTCTAAACAAATGACCTAATCTTATATTTATCCCATTATCAGTTGTCCATTTATAATAACGTTCGAGTCCCAAAACAGGACATATTACTTCGTCTTTAGATCTTTTAATAACAAAAGTATTACACTTTCCATCTCCTCGAATTGTTTTCCCGTATGTGTGGTTAAACACGAACCCCGACGAATCGGGCAATGTCTTGACTTCTTGTGACAGGATGTTAGAAATATCACTTGCCCTATCGCCTGCGAAAAATTGCAATTTAAATACTGCTTGATCTCTCACAAGGCAATACTTTTCTCTCAATGATAAATCATGACGAGACAATTCCCTATCAATGTATGTGGATATCTTTTGCAGTTTTCCCAGAAATATTGGTTTTGCTTGCTTTGGTAAAATGCGGGATTTCGCTTGCTCATGTTTACAGGATTTCTCATAACATTGAACTTCTGGAGATAGGCATGGATTTCCCGTGGCTGTCGCTATATCCCATGAACGACCTCTACCGTACATACACAAAATTTCAGAAAGATTTTGAATCAAGCCATGCAGTGTTCCCGCCGCTAATCTTGTAGCACAGCCGCATTTATATACACCATATTTCCCGATGTGTGCACAAGACGTTCCATGAATTTGAGTTTTACCAAACTTATCACTCCATACTAAAAACCTACAAATATCTTTGGGCATAACCGACATAACAGTTGGTGTATGTGGTAAAGCTGAGAGAAAATTTTTAAAGCGAACTTCTAAACTTTTGCGTTTCTTTGCTTGTGTCGACTGCTCTCCATGAGACTTCAAGATATTTAGCCTTTCGTCTAGTATACCAAACAAATCAATGGAATCTCCCGTAGAGCCCTGAAAATAGGAATGTAAATCATACGTTCATTTTTAACCACTAAAATCAATTTTATAGGCTTTCAAATCCCATTTTAGACCAATACCATCATTCATAAAACCACTTTTAGAGGGAAGCTTGAGTATGTTTCTGTCCCCTTTTTCCCCAAGTGTTATTGACGCAACACAAAATGACATTAATACAGGCCACCATACCGGTTTCGGAATCATGATTGGCACTACAACGGTACACTGTTTGAGTCTACGTTCCCTCAATAAACACAATACGGGTAATATCAGGCTAAAAGGAGGAAACACATATGGATTTGTTTCTTTTGTAAGCTCTTGCGCAAATACGTTCACGCCAGCAGACTGAGGGGATGGATATTGTGTGAAATGACGTAACTGTTTTCCATCTGAATCACTCATTGCATTGGCATCAGTTGCCATCAGATCCACAGAATGTGGCCCGAATACGTTCTCCACTAAACTCCATGTCTCAACAGCCAACATGCTATCAACATCAGAAATTTTCCTTGATGGGTAATCCGCCATATTTGATTTTGACTGAATGTAGTGCAATTTTAAATCTATATTCAAAGCACAAACCACCTGAAAAATGTCTTTCATTATCGCTGATAAATGGACATCTTTTGATCCCTGATTTTCCCAAGCACATACAACAGCCATATTATCAACAAACAAATCGACCCTATGATCCTTAACATCTGATTTCAAAGACTGTAATGCCTTAAGAACAGCTGACGCCTCCTTCTGATGAATAGGCCTAACATCCCCTTCCGACCAAAAATCGCCAAAGACATCACCTTTATCCTTTCCCGACAAAATCGCTATCCCATACCGAAATAAAGATGCATCTGTTGAAATGGAGATTTGTAAGTGCCTCTCTGATCTCCACGGAGCACACCCTTGCCAACTATCGACAAAACGCCAGTACATAACTTCCTCATATAAAGCTCCAGTCATCTTAATTTTCCTGGTGTTTCTTAAACCCAGTGAAATAGCTGCATTTATTTCACGAGTATAAAGTTTAGCACCAGGTATGACTAACGACATTGAAACACACTTTCCTGCAAATCGTTGAAGAGTTCTAACATCAACCTCATCATGACCCAAAATTGTCTCTCTTAGTGTAATGAATTTTCCCTTCTTATCCTCCGGTAATAGATATGCTTGTTTTATAGAATCAACATAAAAACCTAAGTATCTCACCAAAGTCGACGGAATTAGTTGACATTTCTTCAATGCCAGCGTGTAACCAAGATTTGTCAGACGAGTTACAACCAAATTAACCATTTCTACAGGACTGTGAACGATGTCACTCTGAAATGCTGTACAACTTCGAACGTCTGAATTAAAAACCATAAACCTATCATCTATATATTGAACTGTATTCAAACCTAAATCTCTGAACATCGACGTAACTTGCATGCCTAGCATTTGATATATGTATGGTGAAACTTTCCAACCAAAGGGCAGTGTAGTATATGTAAATATCCACCCCCCAAACTGAACTCCGAAATATTCTTCAGATTCTTTCGTAAGTTTTATGTGATCATATCCCGATTTCTCATCACAACATATCATGTACGAGTCCTTTTCTACTAATCTATGTACATGTTTTAGAGTATCGAGACTAAACGGCAAATCTCTCGTCCACAGATTTATATATCGTGCATCATGACAAAGTCTAGGTTTGCTAGGTTCAACAGTCAAAGGCATAATGACCCTAGGAAGAGGACACTCGCCTACCCTTCCCCATAATCTAAAGGACCCGTTTTTCAACCTTTCACTTATTTCCTTTCTTATAAAGGAGGTGTGCGATTTGCACGACAATGAATTAGGAAAATACTGTTTCGGTGGACTATCTGAATCAAAAGATCTCCCTTTGTAATTCCCTTTAAATGAGCGCATAAAAGACTGTGCATCAATCCCTGTGTCCACCCAATTCTGTACCGTCTTAGACATATTATCAGATATTTTCCCAGTAATATCTAACCATTCATTTGAACAATTATGAATTTCTCCCGACACAAAAGTATCTGGATTTCGTACAACCAAATCATTAATATCTATTTTATCGTCATACAACTTAAACTGTTCATTTACGTGGAATGCAGGCTTGGGATCACTTTCTTTCAGTGTTATCCACGTAGGATGCTCTCTCTTTTCCAATACACTTTTCTCCGGATCGAATGACTCACATCTTTCCCATTCCGGCGTGGATTTCTTAATTAAGCACTTCAGCAAAATATGCATCTACCTCCATGTATATCCACCTAAACGTGGATTTAAATGATAACATAGATTGAACAACATAATATTTCTACTTCAACACCTCAATGTGGATTAAATCATTAATAAAGCGCTTCAACAAAATACATATGTATCTCTTTAAATTATCCACCATCACCTCAACGTGAATTTAAATTACTATCGCACAATATATAAATAAATATCTACCTCAACGTAGACATACATGCATCCCAAATCAGTAAAATACCCTTACATACCTTACTGCAGAATCAATACTAGGCTAAATAGGGGTGATCTAATTCTGGTGAAAAACACGTCTGGTTGCTCCCTCCACAAATCGGCAAGTGATGATGCTACTCGTTATCAGCAGTTCTCAGTGGGGATCTCTAGCTATCGACTCTGAAAAATTAGAGAAATTGCAACTACACGCAGCACGGATTGTTACTGGCTTGACCTTAATTGCATCTAGAGACTCTTTGTACTTTGAAACAGGCTGGGAACCGCTCATTGATAGACGCAAGATTCAGAGATTGAATACCATGTATAAAATTCATAATAATTTAGTTCCTGATTATCTACGTGAAATTATACCTGAAATGCGATGTAATGCTTCCGCGTATACAACAAGAAACTCTTAAAATTATAATATACCCGTCTGTAGACTGCAAACATACAAATCATCATTTGTACCAACTGTAGTAAACGAGTGGAATTCTTTATCGCTAGACACCAGACTCTCGAGCTCCTTATCTGCTTTTAAAAGTAAAATCACACAAAAAATAACAATAGCCCCGCCTTATTTCAGTTTTGGAAAAAGACGCTACAATATACTGCACACTAGACTTCGACACAATTGTGTGCTAAACATTGATCTTTATAGGTGTAACATAATATCTAGTCCATTATGCTCTTGTGGTAAGGTAGAAAACACACATCATTATTTTTTCTCATGTCCTAATTACACTGAGGCCAGGAAAGATTTCTTTGATAAGTTTTTGAGATTTAATAAAGTTCATATTGTTGACACTCATACTTTACTCTGGGGGGATACCTCACTCAGTATTGCTGAAAATGAATATCTCTTCTCTATTGTTCAATCTTATATTCAGCATTCAGGCAGATTTAATTGATTTTTCTAAAAATGTGTATAGATAATAATTTAGCAGTATATGTTTCTATGTTGTGAGTTAATTTACTTTGTACATGCTGTTGGACACGTCTGATTGAATTTTTTGTGATATAACATGTAGGGAGAGGGCGAATTAAGTTTTTAGAACTTGTGCCCAATCCCATTGTATATATTTATTGCAATAAAATATGTTCAAATCAAATAAATTGCACACGGGAGACACCAGACGTATGCATGTGGCCACACTATAAATACCTGTACTATCAAAGACCCGGCAGACCAACAGAAATTAACGTCTCAGTCCAATTAATTGTTTTTAAAACATAACACAGATTGTATGATCCCCTAAATTACACTGACATTATTAAGTATAATTAAATCAATTAAGCATGTAAAGAGCATAAATATCAAATTTGAATTATTTAATTAAGATTACCGTAAATAAAAAAAAAAAAAAATACTGTAACAACATTTGAAAAAATCACCAAGTTGTAAAATATGGAATAAAAATAATAATAAATGTTAATATTTACTATATACTGTAGATAGATAAATAGATAGATAGATAGATAGATAGATAGTAGGGCGAATGAGATATATGGCGAACGAGATATACATGTAGGGCGAACAAGAATAATGGCGAACGGACCCTGCGCGAACGGACTCATGCAAACAGGTAGATAGGGCGAACGAACCTGATACCCCCGGGTTTTGCTACCCATTTTAGTCACACTCTGCAGCGGATTGCCTAATAAAAGTTGGCTGCCGATCTCGACGATTCAAAATATACCTAATTCCTCGCACGATTCTGTTGTTGCCTTTTTTCAATAAGAGGTTATAACCTATCTAAATATTTAATTTTATTGGTCAAATTGTCCAACTTCTTACGCAAGAGATGAAGATATATACGAAGCCCACATGCCGATCGCGATGTCAATTAAGAAATGACCATACACTTATTTTCGGGATTTTCGAGTAACATCACAGTACCCATTATTGCCGAGTACCCATTATTGCCGATATACGTTTTTAGGTCACCTGAGTCACTCAAGTGACCTATTGTTATCCGTTCTCGTCCGTCGGCGTGCGTCGTGTGTTAACATTTGAACATTTTTAGCTTCTTCTCTGAAACCGCTAAACCAATTTCAACCAAATTTGGCCTATAGCATCTATGGGTGAAGAGGAACAAAAATTTTAAATTTCATGGTCCCTGCCCCCCCCCCCCCCTGGGGCCTGAGGGGTGGGGCTAAAACCACCAAAAATAATGCAATCTTTAAAAATCTTCTTCTTTACTCTAGGACATCAAGCAGTCAAACTGTTGGCATCATTGTAATTAGCATTGAGCCCTCTACCAAAATTGTGAAATTCATGGCCCCAGGGTCAGCGGTTCTGGCCCCAGGGTGGGGCTATATAGATCATATAGTGAAAGTGCATTATTTCTTTGAAAATCTTCTTCACTGCTACTGGGTATTAAATAAAGTAACTAAGTACACAGTTATGAAGAGCAAGAGTGCCTCTTCCCAAATTGTGAATTTCATGGCCCCAGGGGCAGGGGTTCTGGTGTTAGGGTGGGGCTCTATTGATTATATAGTGAAAATGCATTAGTTGTTTGAAAATCTTCTTCTGTGCTCCTGGGTATTTAATAAAGTAACTAAGTACATAGTTATGATGAGCAAGAGTATCTCTTCCAAAATTGTGAAATTCATGGCCCCTGGGTCAGGGGTTCTGGCCCCAGGGTGGGACTATATAGATCATATAGTGAAAGTGCACTATTTACCATTTTTAAATAATTATTGTTAAGAAATATTCAAATGACATTACCTCGACAAAGAAGTGACAATACCATGCAAAACTTCCTAACTTGCAGTTTGAGTACATATAACAGTTGCTAGGTGCAGGTGCGTGTGGGGGTGGTGAGGGGGGCTGTGATTTATTTGATGAATATTAACATAATACCAATACTTCATATTATTGAGAAATATTCAAATGACACTGACCAATTACATCCAGTTACTGCGATCGATGTGGTAGTGCATAGTGGGTCTGCTTCAACCACGAAGCCCCGTCCACCATGTTGAAAGGAGTATCGGAAGCGAAATTATTCAAAAACTGGTTTAAAAGTGTTTGCCAAAGCTTTGCACCTGACGAGGCATGTACTTCTCTTTCTACAATCTGTCACAAGACTGCGTTAACTTGGAAAATAGCGTTTCATTCATTGTCTGGCCTGAGTAACACATGATTCCTCCATGTGTTTATTTTTAAGCATGCGGCCGATGCAACATCGAAAAAAAAAAATATCACCGAAAATTAAGAATAAACTTTACTTACTTAGGTTTACTTAGGTCTGTTTTCCGATTCAGGAACTGGTTGGTTCCTCTTCATCAGACTCTACATCAAATTCTTCTCCACTTCCGGATATTGTTGTTTTGAAGTCATTGTATAATTGCTCTTGATTTATCCAGTATTTGTCTCGTCTATTTTTAAACGAGTTAGTTGTAGGTGCTGTTACTACATTTTCAGGCAAGTTGTTCCATATCTTGGCTGTTCTAATGATAAATGAGTTTTTCCTGAGTTCTGTCCTTGCTCTTTGAGGGTATATTTTCATACTATTTCCGCGTACCCCTGTTCGTGATGTCATATCCTTCCATAGTTTAACAAACTGTGCAGCTTCCCTGTCATATTTGTGATTTAATATTTTGTACAGTTCTTTCATATCTCCACGGGTTCTTCTGAAGTTTAATGACGGTAGCTTCAATTTCTTCAGTCTTTCAGCATATGTGAGATTTTTCAATCCTGGTAGTTGTTTAGTTGCTCGACGCTGGACATTTTCAATCATATCAATATGCTTCATTTTGTATGGATGCCAAACAGAACTTGTGTATTCAAGATGAGTTCTTACTAATGTTTTAAAGAGTGATACGAATGTTTCGGTATCCATGTATTGAAAGGTCCTTCTCAGCAGTGCAAACATCGAGTTTGCTTTATTTACTTTTTCACTGATGTGTTTGTCAAAGGCCAGGTCTGAATCGATCAGAACTCCAATGTCTTTTTCTCCAGGTATTGTCTGAAGTGTTGTGGACTTCAATGAATATGTTTTGCCTGGATCTGGTCCTGGTTTACCAATATGCATGTGTTTGCATTTGTCCGGGTGAAAGCGAAGTAGCCAAGTGTCACTCCATTTACTTAAATAATCTAAATCATTCTGTAATTGTTGCTTATCTTTTATTGATGATGTTGAAAATCTTAGTATCATCTGCAAACATATACACATCTGAGTCCACCATATCTGGCAAATGGTTGATGAAAATAACGAAGAGTAGGGGCCCGAGTACAGATCCTTGTGGTGTTCCTGATATCACTTTAGACCATGTTGATTTTACATTGTTTACTGATACTTGTTGTATTTTGTCGCTCAGAAAGCTAGATATTAGGGATGTCAATTTTGTCAATAATTCATATTCGAATATTCAATGAAAGTATTCAAATATATTCGAATATTCGATGAAATGAATAAAAAAATCTGTTTTATTTTAATTATGCATCATCCTACTCTCGTAGGTACATGTATACTTATACAGGAAGTAAAATTGTATGAAGACTTTCGTAGGTGTACAATAAGAAATTCCATTTGATATTTGTCAATGTTTGAAATAAATAATTTATTTAAATGTAGAATTTTAACAAATGAAACGTGTATTTATAGTAGCACCACCTGAGGAACCAGTCGTCTCACAAAAGGCAAGATAGCCGTAACGGTATACTGTTCAGATTTCAATACGTGTAATAAATTACAATTATCTGCCTGATAAGAGATATGATTATAATCTTTGATACAATGTAAACAAATATTTCCATAGACAATTTTCCTAGGTAA